TGAGTGCGAATCCTCTCTGGAGTCGCCTCGACGCCAGCGTCTACCTTAGCTTTGGCACTTATGCAACCCCTAGCACTTTTCAATTTGCTTAACTTGAGTCAATCGCAAACGCGGCTTCCCCCAGCGATTGTGTTTGTGCCGAAAAACGGTTAATCCTGCTCTGCGCCTCCAGTGAGCTATCGATGGCTCCAGCTAGACGAGATTTCTCACTCAAAAATTTGTTTGTACAGCCATTACTAGGCATCCGTTGAATCTACATCAAAAAAATTCACTTAATTTCACACAGTGGGGTTTGAAAAAAATTTTGTTGGACCCAACGTAGTTTTAGGGTGAGTGGCCTGTACCATTGAAAGCACTGCATTTAGTATGCAGCATCAGTTTCTAGCATTTTCGGCGATGGTTAATATCTTTCTTCAGGCACAATGATCTTCTATCCTGAGCGCTAACCCCACGCCCTTGGAAATGGAATACGTGGCGCATTCCAAAGAGGGCCTGATCACCGCCACAAATTTTTTTAAAGGACGAATTCACGATTAAATGAAGGTCGAAGAAGGAGTAATTCACCTAGTTGAGGACCCGCGGACCTCCTAAGGTGCGGACTGGAGCGCGGGTGCGTGACGATTCAATCGTGGCGATGGCTAGGTCGCCGCGCCAGCCGCCGCAGCCCGCGATGCGACGTCGGCCGTGGCTAGAATTCAGGGTTCTAGCATTGGGGAATGTAGGATTAGATGAAGTTCCCAGTCGTGAAACACGGTATATGATCACCTGCCCCTTAAAATACAGGATCCTTGTCCTTTGCCATTATTTACAAACTTATTCTGTCATACTGATGTTATGCCTTCCTCACCGTTCCACTGCGTCTTGGAACGTAATATTTTTCCGATTTAGCCAGATTATCGCTCTCTGATAACAATTCAGGCAGTTGATTAATAAAGAAGTCTCATTATGTTCAAAAGGACAACCTTTACATGGCACAAGCTCTGTACAGTGAGGCTTAAATAACTGCGGAGATCTTAAGGTGACTCTTGTTGGCTCACTGATGTCTGGAACTTTGGTCTTATCAGTTCTCTAACCCCACCAGCAACTTATGGACAAGGACCGTTAAGCCAAGGCCCATACAAAAATCGCCGCACCATTGCCGCGCGCGACGCTGCCGCCGCGTGAGCGGCGTGACCTCATTAGCCGACGATTGAATTGACCGTCTCCCCTGCGCAATTGCCATTGAGGATTGACCTGAGGCGACCCTATTAAGGCTCAATCTTGGCGCGGTGGGCCAGTGCACGCCCACCGATCATCTGATCACTCGCCGCAGGTCTATACGTGGTGAGTGATTAGATAGGTGAGAGAGCGTAGTGTTGAAGAGGGCACAGCGATGATAGTCGCATCAATGCTCAAATCAACGGGCAAGGAAGGGGTCCCATTTCTCAGGGTTCTGGGCCGTTTCTCATGGTTTTTCCTTCTTTAGTGTACCACTCACCATCGCTAAGTTAATTTGAAATGGGTTGCCTTTCCAGCGTGAATTCGTCCTTTAAAAGCAAAGACCCGAATTGAACTGGTCTATTAGGCGCGTTCTTCTGTGATAAGCACCAAACGTCGCGGAACGATCTTGAAAGTGGAAGGGAAAGCATAGAAAGTCTTCCGAGAACGCTGATACACTGAGGCTTAACATTCCAGTAAGTTCGATTGGAGTACGCATGGCGAACAGGGGCTTTCAAAAGAGCAATCAATACGCGAGAGACCCTAAAACCGCTGATTCTCTCATCAATGCACGTTCTCGCGGTGAGTGGGAAGGGTTGGAATCGGGTCGATGGTTGCAGGCCCGTAAGGATTAGTGCCCTAATCGCGCACCTTTTGCAACGAAGATGGAGCAATCTGGATAGGTAAAGACCTCACAATTTCCCTCGTGGTATCGCCTACCTAGTCGGGCTGAATCTCAGGGTTTGCCTCTTAAAAAACCATTTATTGTTATTAGCCGACTTTCATAAACCTTATGGTCGCTCCATCGTTCACTATCACTTCTGACTTCATGAATAAAGGCACGGGTAACGATGAAATTGCTGTTTCAGTCTGTTCGGAAATTAGAACAATCACTGTTGAGATTAATGTGGAAGAAAAGCAACAAGTAGCATAGAAAACACTGAAATTTTTTCTCTGTTGGGTTGACAGTGGCACGACGGGGAGACACAACATCGCGAGGAGAGGGAAAACGCGATCGAGTACGCATGAGGGCAGGGTCAATCCTACGTTGTTACTAGTAACAACGGGGGGTCGTACCTGGTTGAGTTTATAGGAGGGGGGTCGTATCCGCTTCAGTCGCGTGAAAGTTACATGTGAGTTTGTGGTGAAAGTGGAGTTTTCACGAGTAGTAGGCTAGGTGAGTTGGGAGCGCATGGGAGAAAAATTCGCCGTTTCAGCGCGCGTATATACCTCCTGAACCCCCCATTTTCGGCATTTTTTGGAGGAAAAGTGGGCGGAGTTTGGTGGGTTGAGTGGTACCAGAATTAATACTATAGAGAGGAATATGGTGGTCGAGAGGTCGAAAAAGGGGGTCGTACCAAGTCCACCTTGGGGAGGGGTCGTAAAAATTTTTGAAAAAGTAACAACGATAGGACTGACCCTGCATGAGGAGGTACAGGATCCATGTATGCTGCGGTTGAAGAGCGTCAAGCAAAGGCATCATCTCTCTTCTTTTTGCGCGCACTTTGAGTGCACGAGAGTACCACTCACCCCTGTGTCAAGTTCGCTACCTCACCCAAGATAGAGCTTCTTTGAAGGATTGTAAGGGCGCCATGTCTTCAGATGCTTACGCGACCAAGCGCAAACCTGTCTTCCGACGCACGATGTGGGCACTTGAGTGCCTCCAGAGGAGAGTAGGATTCTGAAGAATCTCTCAAGAAACTCCGGTTTCAATCGATGAATATAATGAGAAAGTGAAGGCTGATAAGTGATTTGGCATTGCCCGAGTTTCGGAATGAGTCAAAACCAACGAGACAGGAACTCTTGCGCGTTACTTTTTGTGAGCAGTGTCCATAACTCACTAAAAAGGACTCAGAAAAAGAAAATTCTGAGTTGAACGTGTCCTATACGTCCGTGTCTTGATACTGTAAACACTTGTTGTTCTGCTGAAATTTAGCTCGTGTCTTCTTGTTTTTTTCATTGAAATTCGGGTTCGGGTATATTCAGATAGAAATGGACGCCATGAAAACTGTGGTCGAGCAGCTTCGACGTGAAGCACAAATGCAACGAAAGAATGTTTCGGAAGTCGCTAAAGAGTGAGTTCATTTTCCAGACAAATACATAGTACATCTTCGAGTTTTGCTTGTTAACAAGCGAATTTAGTGTTTGAAGGTTTTACACGATTGAATTGCGTACCAATCTGTGGAAGGGCGTTATTTGTGTTTATAGATGTTAACGCGCAGTCATTGGTGGATGGAAGGTCTATCAGAACTGAAACGCTCAACTTATCCGCAGCTTGCGTCACATTACTATAGATGGATCTAAAGGCACAAGCCATGATCGAATTGTTGGGTTGTTCCGCGCTAAAATGAAGCAAAAGGGTGAAGAGGACCGCAAAAGAGGAAAAAAAGAAATTATAAGGAAACCACAGATCAAAGGTTTTCTTTATTTTTAGAACGGCCGTGGCAGAAGTGACAAATTCGGCCAGAGGAATGAAGACGGGGGAGAGCACCTGATACTAGAGGCTGCAGAATCGTTGTGTGCTGAAAGCTGTTGAAAATGGCAGCACACAACGTTTCTGCAGCCTCTAGTATCAGTAGGCAGCAGGGTGAAAATCGTGTCGAGGTCGTAGCAGTACGACCCTCCCCGAAATGGATGTCCTGATGCGACCCCCCTAAAACCGTGGTCTTGAATACGACCCGGGCAATGTGAAAGAAGTGTTTAGTGTACGACGGCCGATTCACCTGCAGCTGCGGTGCGGTCGATCCCTGGGTCAGATTTGCTGAAACTTGATCCAAACCATGGAAATCTACACCCTCGTTGAAAAGGTACAATTCCCTCATTTCTTAACCTTTTGAACAGTATGTGGCAGGGTCAGATCGAGCTAGGTTTCTTTTTAACAACCAGTGTCGAAGATGCTCTAAAAGCCCTGCTTTTGGAGAGATGGGGTCTTTCGAGCTCCCCGAGAGGCCGAAATTTTCATGCGAGTTTTTGCCACTTAAAGGCAATATCTCTCTAATTTCGTAAGATCTTGAAAAAGGAAGACAGTTTTGGAAAGCGGAAGGTTTGCGCTTTCTTGTTTAGCTTTCTTCTACATTTCTAGTTGAGGAGATATTTGCGTCGAGGATCTATCGAGGACGGATCTCGGCCACTCAAAAAGCCGCTCCCTTCTTCACCATTGCAAGTGTAATTCGTTGGCAACGCTCGAAATGTGTCTAGAATACATTCTCCAACGGTGCAACGAAGGAAAGGAACAATCATTCATTGTTCAAGATAGGCAACACATCCGATCTTCACTCAAAGTTGTGGCATCGATCAAGGTGGCCCCGAGACTCTTCTCACTCCTTCGCCCCCGGTGCGGTCGGAATACGCGCGCCGATCTCATCTACTAAGGTCCGCCACTTGTCGTCTCGCTGTCCTCCACCGTGTCCCCCCTGGACTAACACCGGAGGACAGTGGCTCCCCCTTACGTCGTTCCACCATGGCGTCGCGGCTACGATCAGGGCGTGGGCCCTTAGAACATCTGTGGAATCTGCTGTCCGCCGATTCATATAGTCCAGCGTCCGTGGCGAAGAATTCACCAACCTCGAAAGTCCACGACCAATCAATACAAGAGGATTGCAGGCCCCCGAGACGGAATCGTAGGTTCTATTGATCTGTTACTAACACATAGTTCAGTTGAGTCTCTTTAAGACTTATAAAGTTACTAGCACGGTGTCTTGTTAGTGTAAGAGAAAAGGTTACACATCCTAGTGTTTATGTTTATGAAGCAGGTATTAGTTCAGCGGTTTACGCCTAACTGATAGTACAGCGGGAAGGTAGGCAGGAGGTGGCTAGGTGCGCAGTCCAAGGCTTGCGACCCGAGGGAGGGGAGAAACATCACACGGGGAAAGGCTTCAGACTACTAGTACATCGGAGCTCTACGAGAAGTACTTCCCCGGCAGCTATCCTGCACGCGGAGCAGCCCCGATTCGCAACAGGTTCCCTTTTCAGCGCGTGTTCACATGTGGCCTCGTTCCTTGCGAGATGCACTTTCATTATTTGTACTGCTTTCAAATACGCCCCTCTCATAAAGGTAGAGGAAAGGAGCGAGTGAACTTGCAAGAAATATTTTATGTCATGTTTTTTATTTATCTATTTATTCATATTCGTATATCTGCTTTTTTGCGTTACACCCCTTTCACTCCTATCTGCACTTTGATGCCATAAATGTGCTCGTTACTGACCTCACGATTACGATCCCTTACGACCCACCCTGACAAATACGACCGCCCCTGTTGTGGATTTCCTCGACCGAAATTCACCTGCTGCTGCCTTGCTTACTCTCACGACACGCAGACTGCTTCATTTTTTCACGTTCGCACCCACTTATGTCGTTCTTGTGTAGCATATGATTTGTCGACTTCTGTGATGTCCTGCTTGCCTTTATGGAACACCTCAATGGAGCGACTTGTCAGAAAGGTGCTTATCGTCTTCGAGCTTTCCATTGAGTTGTATAGACGAGGTCTCTCAGGAAGCTGATTCC